CCAAATTTATTGGGTGGAAGCTTACCTTCCCAGGCTGCCCTCGCGCTGTCTCCCAGACTCCTGCCGCTGAAACAACTGAAAAGGTTCCCCTAAGGAATACCACTGATGTACCTGAACCTGAACTCTAACCCAGCAGATCTTGCATATTGACTTGAAGTATTTGCAAGATCAAGATTTTTGTTTAAAATCCATTCAAGGGATGAGGGCATCACTGGCTAGGCCAGCATTTGTTGCCTGCCGCTATCTGCCCAGGTGGGAATTCAAACTCAAGTCCACCAGAACATTACCTGGGTCTTTGGATTAACAGTCCAGCCGCCATACTATTAGGCTATCGGCTCCTCCAAATCAAGATCAGAGAGGATTTTTTAAAAAAAAAACAAATAAGACTCACACTAGAACCCTATAATAACATCAATTATGACAAAAAAAACAATTCTGTTGAAATTGTAGAAAACGCAGGAAAGAAGCAACTGAAATTTTAATTATGGCCCTAACCCTTTGCCACAGAAAGTGAAAATCACCCTTAAGTTTTAAGTCAAATAAAACTGCTTTGTAATAGGAGTTACATGGGTCAGGATCGTACAGATACAGAGGACCTACCCACAACACACAGAGCCAGAGGGGTAGCTACATTGGCTGACTGGATTCCAGTTCCAAGAGCTACAGATTAGGAGGTCTGACGGCTCTTTAATTCCAGCAGTGCCAGGGAGCAGTGACCAGAATTAAGACTGCACTCCTCATACAGCAGCAACACAGACTCTTCCCTAGAAACCAGCTAAATGTGGCTGCAGTCAAGGATATGGAGACCAGTCGTTCAGGCCATGTGAGCAAGGGAGGGGCTGGGAGCCAGGCACAGGGGTATAGCTTTCTTGCTTTTCAAATTTATTCCTATACAAATGAACCCAAATGCATCTTTTGCTTTTTTACAATGCTATTAAGTTGCATCATTACGTTAGTAGTTTGTATATTGGCTTTTTAGATTGTTACGTGGTGCATGACCTCGTTTCCCACCGAACTGCACTAACATACACATATTACATATTGAAATTAGTTTGCCAATTACATACCATTTTTGAAAGTTTAGTCATGTCTTCTTGTATTTTGTCACATTTTTCCTCAACATTATTAACATACAGCCAATTTGGAGACATCCACTCCAGAATTTGGAATCCAAACAGTTAAATTGTGAAGAAGGGTCTAGGCCCGAAACGTCAGCCTTCCTGCTCCTCTGATGCTGCTTAGCCTGTTGTGTTCATCCAGCTCTACACCTTGTTATCTCAGATTCTCCAGCATCTGCAGTTCCTACTATCTCTGAAACATTTGGTATGTTGGCCTTCATTGCAATAGGTATTGAGTACAGGAGCAAAGACGTGTCATTGCAGTTATACAGGGCCTTGGTGAGGCCACACGTAAAATATTGTGTACAGTTTTGGTCTCCTTTTCTGAGGAAGAAGGCTCTTGCTCTCAAGGGAGTGCAGCAAATGTTTATTAGGCTGAGTCCAGAGATGGTGGGACTGACATATGAGGAGAGATTGACTAGGTTAGGATTGTTTCTGCTGGAGTTCAGACAAATAATGGGGATCTCATAGAGACTTATAAAATTCTAACCAGACTAGACAGAGTAGATGCAGGGACAATGTTTCTGGTGGCGACTGTGTCCGGAACCACAGGTCACGGTCTGAAGATTCAGGGTTGACCATTTAGGATGGAGATGAGGTGACATTTCTTCATCCAAAGAGTGGTTGCCCTGCAGAATTCATTACCATAGGAAGTAGTTGATGCCAAAACATTGAATGTATTCAAGAGGCGACTAGTTATGGCTCTTGGGGCAAATGGGATCAAAGGTTACGAGGAGAAAGCAGGATTAGGCTATTGAGTTGGACGATCAGCCATGATTGTGATGAATGGCAGAGCAGGCTTGAAGGGCTGAATGGCCTCCTCCTGCTCCTATCTTCTATGTTTCTATGCAGTCCTAGCCTAATGTCAAAAGTTCCCAATGTTTTACATGAGTGGAGTCTCCCTCTGCCTGTTAGGCTCAACAGGGGTAAGAGGAGCAGGGACTCCTAGACCATGAGTTCCCAAATCCTGAGCATGGAAGAAACCAATGAAGAAGCTAGTAGAATAAAGAACATGAAGCATAGCAGAGGCAAAAATGAGGCCCACCTTGGAATTCTAAAACCAGAGAAATGTAGATAGTCCTTTAGTTCTCTCGGGTCTGTTCGACCATTCGATGAGATTTCTGGCTGATTTTGCACTACACCCAAGACCAGGCTCATAAATTGGTGGTGGGAGAGGGTGGCACAAAATCAGGTGATATGGTAAGCAGCAGTATGTTATTTTACCAACAATGAGATAGATGGCAGAAAGAATACCTACCCATAACCCACTTGAGGCATTTAGTGTCTGATCAGTGGTCACTTAAGAGCTACCTCCCATCACCAGTGGTATCACTGATATTGCCCATGTGACATATTGGAGCTGCCAGGTGTACCCTAGTGACATGGTTGCAGACCTGTCAAGTGAGGGAAGGTTCCTCCTGTTCAGGCAACCTGTTGTCCATGGAGGGCTTCCTTCTCAGCAGAGCAGACCCTCTCCACATGGACTTTCCCTGTTCTGGCCCCTCTCCCCAGTCATTGCATTTCCTTGTCTGTCCCCTGTTTACTGGACCCTGTAAGAATGTCCCTGGTGAGTGTCTCCATCTTGCTTTCTAGTCCAGCCACCTCAGTGACTTCTGATTGATGACTGGCTGCACTCCCGATAGTGGCTACATTGCCTCAGTTCCTGTTAGGTCTGAAAAACTGTTGGCTATTTGATTTAAAAAAAAACGCCTGCCACAAAATTATTAATTTAATTAATGACATCTGCGTTTTACAAGGGGTAACTACTTAATGATTGTCCAAAAATTAATTTGCATATGTTGCTTAGATTCATCAGCCAAATGACACCATTTAGAATGTAAGTGTAAATTCTTCCTTCTGTTAAACTTTTCAAGGGCACAGGTGTTTTGCATTGAGGAATAACCAATTTTGAATTACACAATATTCAGACGTATATGAATGCAAAATAACATTTTCTTCATAAGTTTCATTAAGAAATAGCTTTCAAAAAGTGGTACATTGAAATCCCAGTACAGTGTGTTAAGACCATTTTCAGGATCAGGGTTTGTGCCTGTTTCATCTGTGGAATTCCTGTGCAGATGCCAGTGATACAAAAGTTGAAGAGCAAGTCCTCCATCAGTCTTGTCTGCCGCTGAAGGTATTTGTTGTGGGAAGACTAAGAAAGGGGAATCAATAAGTATACTTTAGAAAAGTATATTACGTGCACTCCATAAAATGCAAAATATGTTCAAATTTATAGAATCATAGAGTCATAAATTTATTGAATTCACAATAAAACCAATTTTCACAATGTTCTTTTTTACTGAACATTCATGTGTTTTTATTCTCGGTGTTTCTTAGTACACCTGGTCAGTTTGGATTAAAGTGAGTTTGAGTGTATAGAATTTTAATGTCAACCAGCATGCGTGATGAAATCCAGTCAATTAACAGTGGTGTCATATTTAATTTTGTTTTTAAACAGACAGCGGATGCAGCAATCAGCTATGTATGAGCTATGTCAAGGGATGCAAAGCATCAGCATAGAATTTGTACGCCTCCAGTTGACTTATGAGGAGTTCCTGTGCATGAAAGCTCTTCTCCTGCTTGGCACAAGTAAGTATCACGTCCATGTTAACACATTAAGGATGGGGCTAATACATTACAGAATAAGAGCTCTTTGTTGAGTTCTTAAGCTGAAAGTCCAAATCTGTTTCAATAATTGAGTTCTTGCAAGGCTATTCTCTCAAGAGATGAATCCTCAAAGGAAACACATTATCAAAACTGTATGAAGAAACTTTATTAATTTGATGGCTGGATGAGTTGCAGTTAGCCTAAAGTTTTCCTAGTTATACAATGGCATCAATAGAAAGGAGGACTTGTGGTTCGGCGGTAATATCCCTCCCTCTAAAGTTCCAGGTTCAAGTTCCACACCAGGATGTGATAGTCAAGGAAAGTGCATTCATAACCCAGCCAAACAGATTGAATATCAATTTGTAAATTCTTCCAACATGTACCAATTGCAAGCAATAAGAATGGGAGAGATAGTCTAGTTAAATATGTATGGAAAGAAAATTGGTGCCTGTACCATCAGTAACCTTGGCTCTATCTACAACATGCCAGCAAAAGTGCTCGTTGCTGCAATTACTCAGACTCCATTGGGGAGCAGTTAGCCCATTAGCTAGTTGGCTGGTGTGCATCAAACTAATGTGAACAGTATGCGGTTTGATCTCTAATCTGGATGAGGTGGATTTAGGACCTGCATCCTTATCCTACCCATGTTGAACATTGTGGCACTGGGCGTTGAACCTGCTTTCAGGCAGAGTATTGAAGAAGTATAGGAAACCACAGTATCTAGAAAGAAAGTAAGGATCAAAGAGAGGGGCTGAGAAGCCGACACAAGCTTTTTTTTTTTAAATCACTCAGAGAGGGACAGAGAAACTGTGTAAAGTAACTTCCAAAAGAAAAAAGAGAAAGCAGAAAAGGTGCTCATTGTAAACATGTGGTTTTAACAATTTTCCCACTCGATCTAGCACAGTGGGAGAAACACAGTACATCATCCTTTCTTTCCTCTTGTTTATCTCTCTACTATTGAAGTTATATAAAAGAAAGTGGAAGACTGCTAGCTATTAACACCTCAAGTGGAGGCCTATCAGTTACTATTATAGTAACTAGTAAGAAGGTAGATGTTAGATGAAATCACCAAGCCTTCAAATTTGAACCACGTTTGAAATGATTAAGTGCACAGCAAAGATATATTGTGATTCAGACTTTGTGAAATGAATCAGGGGAAATTAAGAGGAGTCAGTGTGTTGTGTATATTTGCAAATACTTACAATTACGCAGAAATGTTTTTACATTTTTATAATAAGTGCAAACATTGTTAGTCATGGTCACAAATCACAATTATTCTGCATATATAGGATTTAATAACTCGGGTCATCGAACCAAAGTTAAAACCTCAATGCTTCGCTCTAGTGATTGGATGACAGGATTTGCTGCTTTTGAGGGCATTCATACCTATGGTTTGACATTTACAGGATGACAGGAAGGAGGTCCATGCATCATGCTGTTCCTGATGTGTACCTGCTGCAATTTTACCACTGGTACGGGTGGTTTTGGGCAGATCACTTGCTCGTGGGCCAGCTGATGCCTTTAAATGCTGAACAATCAAGGGCCTTCTCCCACAGTTGCTGCGATTACCTAGTAAAAGCCTTGAGCCTTGGTGCCTAGGAGGTTGGATGGGTCATTGATGCATTCATCTGAAGACCTCCTGAAGTTTGAACCCTACCTTGCTCTCCACATTCCCCCACACACCTCACTCTCTCCTTTCCAACCATGAATCTGCTTGATTAACTGCAGTCTGAAGTGGAATTTCATTCTGGGGAAGGGAGAATTTCCCACCTGAGGTCATTTGAACTGTCAGCCGTTCAGTGCTGGCAAGGCAAGCCAGCCAAGTAGAAGTGGGCTTGTCGCTGACTTCCATGCGATTTCGACCCCAGTGAAAAATTTTGCTTTGTGTATCAGAAAGCAGAATATGACTTTCCTCTGCAAGGAAGGGGGCCCAAGTAAACCTAAAACATTCTTAAGGAACGGTGATTATGAAGATGATTCTGTTGTCTACTGCAACACATTTATCAGAAACATTGGATGTCCAAACTGTCAACATTTCTTTCGTGTGGAATGCACAAATCAAGTTGCAAATTTCTATGAGACTGCAGAACACTGTATCATAGAATCCTAGAATCATAGACTCCTAGAATCATGTAAGATCAAATGAAATCCTCTACATTACATACAATCATATTTTGTAACGCTTCAGACTTAATGCCTTAAGTAGTTGTCAATATAGCTGAATGTTTTTGTGATACATTGATGAATAGTCAGTTTTATTCAGAACATGTAGTTCAGTTTCAAGATCTTTATCTGTACATGAGAAAAATACTGCATCAATATTTTCAAAGAAGAACGAGCCAAATTAACAGTTTTATGTTAATAGTCTATTGGATTACATCATAAGGGATGGGGTTGGAGTATATGCACAGGCACCTCTGAACAATAAGTCCGAGATTTTCCATTTTGCAGCCTAAATGTCAGAGCAGGTGGGTTTAGTGGCAACTGACTCTCTGCCACTGCAATGAGAAAGCTTGCTGAATGAGACACCAGTCAGCTGGCCAGCAAGCTTCTTGGTGAATAAGCACAACATTTAAGTTCTGGCTCCGCAACAATGGCACAGCAGTGTCTAGGTCCTAGAGATCCTTACTGGAGGCCTAGTTGTCAAGTGATCTAATGGCAAGAGAATGAGTCTCGTTTACTTTAGGTCTCACTGGGGGGATGTGGGGTGTCAATGGAAGAGGAGAAGAGGAGGCAAAGCTGTATGGTGGATTTCAGCAACCACCCCTTTGTCCTGATTGCCACCAGAGCGCAAATGGAGGCCCCAGCCCCAGACTGGCCAGTTGCCCTTCCTGCATGCTGAGAAGGCTGTTAATTGGGCTTGTGGTGATTTGAGCTCTTTACGTCCCTGTTAATTGACAATTTACGGGTTTTATTTGCTGAAAAATCGAGGTCACCAATGGCCTTTCTCACCCAACCTTAATTGATGAGGTGATGAGAAGGGGATGAGTGTCTTTCCAGGATCAAACTCACTCAATTATTTGTCCTTCTTGACACTATCCTCACCACTTCCAGGAAGCGGAGAATTGCACTCAAAGGTTGTAAAATTTAGAAGCATACCACCATTGGTCTATACCTATGTTAAAGCCTCTCACGTGAGGCCTGGATGGAGCAGTTGAAAATTCATGAGCCAGATCCACGACATTTGATTTAGATATAAACAACACCGAATTAACTGGTATAAAACCCTCCTGTATTCTGTGTAGAGAATTTAGAAGAAAATGTGGGAGGAGGGGAGTTGATAAGTAAGTTGCAGATGACACAAAGATTGGCTGGGTGGTTGACAATAAGGAAGAAGGCCTTGAATTAAGATAAAAGGATACAGATCGATTGGTCAGATGAGTTGATCAATGGCAAATGGAATTTAGCACTGTTACATCTAAAAGGATGTACTTTTGAAGAAGAACAAGACAAGGGAGTACTCAGTGAATGGCAGAACACTAGGCAGTGCAGAGGAACAGAGGAATCTTGGGGTGCTTGACCACAGATTCCTGAAGTGACAGAACAAGTTAATAGGGTAGTTAAGAAGGCATATGGGACATTTGCCTTTATCAGTTAGTGACATAGATTATAAAAGTAGGGTGATGATGTTGGAGCTGTAAGTACTTTGCTCAGGCCACAATAGGAGTACTGTGTGCAATTCTGATCACCGCACTTTAGGAAGGATGTGACTGCATTGGATGGGGTGCAGAGAGATTCACCAGTATGTTGCCTGGGATGAAGCAGTTTAGCTATGAAGAGAGGTTGGATAAGTTTGGGTTGTTTTCCTTAGAGTACAGAAGAATTAAAGGGGACTTGATTGAGTTGTATAAGATAATGAGGGGCATGGACAGAGTGGATAGGAAGCATCTATTCCCCTTAGTTGAAGGATCAATAACAAGATGGCATAATTTTAAGGTAAAAGTTTGGAGGTTTGGAGTGGATTTGAAGAAGAATGTTTCCATCCAGAGGGGTGATGGGAATCTGAAATGCACTGCCTGGGAGGGTAGCTGAGGCCGAAACCTCATAACTTTGATGAGCACTTGAAACATCGTAACATTCAAGGCTAGGGGCCATGTGCTGGGGTGTGGACCAATGTAGACTTAGAAAGATTTTGTTAGTGCAGACTTAAAGATCTGAAGGCACTTCTGTACTGTATGATCCTATGATTCTCTGATTCTATATGCCCCGTTACCCCACCAAAACCAGTTGTCTGCAACATAAGCTTTTACATGATAGCTTGACTGATGTCTGTGGGTAGTGTTATTGCTAAGTAGTTTTAGGGCTTCCAAACCCCATAACAGCAATTATAAATAGCCAGTGAGGAGGAAATTCAAATTCCCTATTAGGGTCGTAATAACAACCCCAACCTCAGAAGAGGTGCCCAAGTTATCGTAAGCCAAGGTCCTCCCAAAGCATGGAGGGGCCCTACAAAAATAATGTGCGGTCAGGAAATGAGACGAAATTAACTATTGTAGTCAAAGCTTTCAAGATTTCAGGTTTCCTAAACCCATTATCACTTTTTTTCTTGTTCTGGGACAAAAGTCTGGCTCAGAGTTTTTGAGGCAGAAGAGGTCTTGGGGAAAGAAATCCAGACTGTACAGCCTAGGAGTCTGGTGAAGTTCAGGCATATGCACAGGTGATTACAAACAGAAGGATGAAGCATTCAGTTGGAGGAGTTGTAGTACTTGAGGATAAAGAGACAGAGCAGCAAAACCATCAAGGTTAAATAGGCGGAAAAAAGCCAAGGAGAATTGGTGGTATTTGTAAAGGAAAGCGGGTGGTAGCAATAGCATTTTTGGAAGGGGGTGCCCAGTGGCTAAATAGAGAAAGCCATAGTGTCAGGGCTAGGATACAAAGTGTAAGCAATTTAGTGAGGAAGGATTAAAGATGCAAGAGATGGTCTCGTGGAAAAGGTAAGCTCAGAGAGGGCATTTGAGGCAGTAGAAAACCAACTGGTAAGA